TTTTTTTTCCTATGCATCAAAAGAGAGTAATCTGAGTTGTCGCACCTTTTTTTATCGAACTTTCCTGGCTAAAGTGTAAGTGGTTAGTTTAGTTTTTTGTAGGTTTGTGAACGTGGGCGTCTGAAGGCAGCTGAAGAACAATTCTGGACTCAACTGATTGAAGAATACCTAAAAGTGAGCGGAGAATCCAACTCTTTGTTTTCCATTCACGTCGCTGTCTCTTTTTCATTCATCTCATTTTCAGCCTGTGCAGTCTACACCACAAGAGCAAAGCGAAATCGCTGCTGGTCTCGCTTCCTTGCGCAATAATGTCGCTTTTTCAATCATTCTTGTGAATGCGCTACTTGCACTGGCAATCTATCTCATCCAGAAGCATAAAAATGTGCTGAGTATACGCTGGACACCGTATAGTAAGCTCTAACCTCGTTATACGCAAGGATCAGTGTAAGCAATGGAAAATTGCAGAAGACTTCAAATGGACCAAAATGAACGAGATGACTGGACAATATGAAGAGACCAAGGACCCGCTTAAAATTGACCCTCTAGGCATGACAATTATCGCGTTCCTCTTGGGTATACTTGTTGTGCAGACCATAGGTAAGTAATCAGTCATTTTATTTATTGTTGTATATTTTATGCATATCATCTGCAGGTATGATAATTCACCGCTTGAATACGCTGATTGGTGCTTTCCAAGAAGTCAGTCAGCTCCGTGACTTTGTTCCTGTCGTGAAGTCAAATAAACTGAATGATGAAAGAATTCTAACGGCAGGTTGGTTGCTTATTTATTGATGTTATTTTTTTGTAGGTGGTTTGTTGAGCTGTAGACCGGGATTGGTGATACTTTATTATTTATTATTGATGTTATTTTGATCTAAATGTTATTTTTGATTTTATTGTTTTCTTTTAGCCCGACAGATGATAGACACAACATCTTATGCATTGAGCCATGCTGCTGATGGTTACACTAGACATCGTGAACTGGATTCCGGCAATGACACAGTGTTATACAAATTGCAAAGAGCACGATTAGCCAAAAGGCTGCAACGAGCTGGAGAGAAAAAGTAGAGGGTTAGATATTTTATTCGCGCGAGTTGATTTACGGTTTCACTTTGCTCAGTTTTAGAAGTTTTACAAATCTCAAAGAATGATCTTTATTTTATCCATTATTGCATGTATGTTTTATAATAAATGAGCTGTTTTACACTTAGTTCAAGAAAACTGAGGAAAGCATGACATTTACGCACCAGCAGTGATTCAAATAGTAAGCGCAAAAGAAATGCCTCCATGCGGGATCGAACCACAGACCTTCTGTTTACA